CCAACGCCTAGGGATCGTGACTATCGCTCAAGCTAAAAGAACTAGAATCTAAGAAGTACATAGAAACCATGCCTTGTCGTACCAGCCAAACGACGGTGGATACACGAATCCAGGAATTTCAAAGAGCTGTGAATCTGAAACTTTAATAACAGAGATTGAATCAACAGAAATGTGAATAGAACCAGCATGAAAAATAGAGCAACGCGAACTTGTTGCTATGAATCAGTCGGTTGCTGCCTACATGAATGTTTTTATGTAATAAAGGGATATAGACCTACCTCATCGGGTGGGCCAGAACGATTCCAAATTTAGATTTACCAGCTGTTAGGTAGTTTAAATGAGGCAGCTCTAAAGCGATTTTCAGTTGATCCACTGAAGCTTGGCTAACGTTCCACAATTTGTGCCAGTAGCAAACTATTTTGTTTGTTAGGGTGCTAGCTGGTTGGAAAGCCAATTCTTCTGATCATACATACTTGGCAAAAGAAATAGGAGAGTGAAAGGCTCTGAGTTTTACAATATTGTAACTTGCTTGGGTCAACCTTTCATAGCCAAGAGGACCTTCCTTAGAAGAGTTTGGTGTTTACAGTTGACCTGACGAAACGCCTTATCTCAAGAAAATTTGTCACCTATGGATCAACGCCGGAACAGTCAACGATGGACCTGGAAAACCAAACCATCCCTGATAAAGAATCTAGAATCTGACCCAACACGCAAAGACGGGCGCGAAAAAACATTGACTATGGAAATCAGAGTTGGTGATTTAAGGCCAAAGATTGGAGGTTATTTCATGTGGTATGCTTTAGGAGGAGGAGAAGCATTCTAAGAAGGACTTAGTCGTAACGATTCAATTGATAAATTGATGAACATATACTTGAAACAGACTTTGATCTTTTGATCTTAATAACTTACGAATTTGTCGATAAAATCTTCACTAAATTGTGATTTATAGTTTTTACTTTTCCTTTTCTGCTGTAAGAGCGATGAAAATTAGTAGAAACGGCCAGGTTTTCTAAACACTTTATACCGGAATTCTTTGCACAGTTGCATATGCTCAAAGTGCATTTCTGGCTGAAAATGACGTACACTTAAGCGAGTTTCTGTACAGAATTGCTGTTCCAAACTGAAACTGGTCGATTTAAATGAACCTAGTAGACTTTTATTCATCCGAAATTTTATCCATTTTGAAAATATAAACATTGCTGTTTTCTTATCAGCATCCTTTTCTCTTAATTTAATTTTCAGGAACTAGAGCCAACTTTTCGGCAAGATAAATGTTTTGTGTGAATGTAGTAATTGTGTGTGAATAAATAAATGTAGGGTGTGTCACTTTCTTCAAATATCCCGATTAGCAACAAGCATGAAGAAATTTTCCAATCATAAACATATCCAAAACAATTCTGAATTCATTTTTTTCTAAGGTAAAGCATCCAGAAGCCAGTAGATGGCATAACACAAAATTTGATTTCGAGACTTTATTTTACATCGAGGTTGACATTTTATGCGCCATTAAATCATTCAAATAATGTTCCAAAATCCTAATCCCTTTCATTAAGAACAATGGTTCTTATAAGAGCTTCACAAACTGAATACGGATCACAATTAGCTGACGGTCGCCTATCTTCCAGGTATCCCTTATTATCAAGAGCACATTGACGTGGAATTCTAATGCTGCACCCTCTGTTCGCCACACCGTATGAAAAATCGTGTATGGTAGAGGTTTCGTGAAGGCCTGTCAATCTCCGTTTGTTGTCTTCTCCGCTATTTGGATCGTACATCTTTATGTGGTATTCGTGTCTCCTTGAAAGCTTCTCTACAGCCGCGTACACCTCCGACAGTCCACCATCTTTTCGCATATCAGATGTACTGTAGGTACAAAAAAAACGTATTGAAAAGTTGTCTCATTAGAAGTTACCTTATCACTCCTTGAAGACGTAAAAGTACATCTGCCATTTGCTTTTGTTACATTCTCTCAGTAGCGCCGTTGATTACAGGCTCAGCCCCCCCCCCCCCCCCCCCACTTGTTTAATTCAGAGAGATTGAAGATACACAACAGAGAATCTTTAACACAAATGCAAGAATATTTCGTGGGTATGTGTGTGGTCATGTGTGTGGCCTGTTGAATTTGCCTACAGCATAGACCCCCTACTTCCTAACTTTTTAGTACAGCATCCCTGCATTCTCAATGTCCCAATTCACAAGGCTAACAACGCAATATAACCTGACAATTATGTAACAAAATCAAAAATTACCTGAAGTTCATGTGTGCTCCAGCACCGTTCCAGTCGCCATTCATTGGCTTCGGATCCAGTGTATCAATTACACCGAAGTGCTCGGATATTCGTGATAATATGTACCTTGCCATCCATGTCTGATCTGCGAGGTCAATTCCTTCCACCGGTCCGATCTGGAATTCCCACTAAACGCAAATTGCAAGCATTTAAAAACCTTTATATCAATGTTTTTTGAGGTGTACTTTAAATTATAAACTGACTATATTTTGACTCATATAAATGAAGTTACTCTAAGGTTTAAGTTGCTTTGGAAACTATTGTTTGTACCAGCATGGACAAACACGTTCATAGATATACACAAGCAATAAGACATTGAGTTGGGATCAAGAACGTCCCATTGTACAACATACATCACTGTGAGCAAGATTCGAAAGATGTTCAAAGCATATTCCTGCCACCAAATCAGGAAACCAAAAAATCAGCTTGTTCTTACTTAGCTGCAAATTATGGATTAAAGTGTGTTTATGGGTAGAGCTTTTTTTGAAAGCATTTATGTACCTGTCCTGGCATAACCTCTGCATTCTCGCCGCCATGCATAATCCCAGCATATAAACACGCCATGTAGTGGGCTTCAACAACTTCTCTACCAAAAACACGGCCAGTTCCAACACCACAGTAATAAGGACCCTGTGGGCCAGGGAAACCGCCCTTTGGCCAACCAAGAGGGTGACCATCTCCGTCTAGCAAAGTGTATTCCTGTTCAATGGCAAACCATGGATGATGATCCTGTAACGAATAAAATTGTGCAATGAAAAGCAATCTTTACAGGCTGCATTTATTTCAATTCTCTTAGTTATCAAAAATGAACACGCAGCAACAGGTGTCTTTAAACTGAATTAGCAACATCTTTTCGGCTAGATGATTTAGATAAGCTCACCTTGCATTTCTCCAAAGCCTCTAAGCAACTCGTCCTGTTGTTTGTTGCGCACGGTTCATTTTGGTAGTTGTAAGTATCACAAAGAACAAGCTTGTTTTTGCCTCTGCGAAAGGGATCCGGAAAAATTCTCCTTGGATACAAGAATGTATCACTGTTCTCACCCTGTGCCTGGCCTGTCGATGAACCATCATAGTTCCAGACCGGAAGATCTTCCGGACGCTCCGGTTCATTATCAAGTGTCCTTGATTTGCCTCTAGTGTGGTCTCCGCTTCCATCAATCCAAACATATGTTGCAATGACCTTGTCTGACTGCAGGTCCATGTACGAGCTCAATATAGCTTGGTCAGTACCGGCGTAATGGCGGATTGCACCAAGTCTCCTACAGGGACATACGAAGACACTAAATTAAACTCCACTTCTGTTTGTGCAATTGACTTTATCACCGATTTCATTGATACTAAATAAGTCCTTATAAAATAAAGTTCAAGGAGTAATTAAAATGAAATACGTAATTGCAAGTAAAAGCGCATTGACGCACTGACCTGGCTGTGTTCAATTCTGTCTTTGAACCTCTACGTGATGACATCGCTGCTGATACTGTTAGCTTGGTCGATATAGACAGATATCTCTTTGCTACTGTTGAAGCATTTTGCTTGCAGATATTAAAGAAACACGATGTTACTGCAGACTTGAAAGCCATGGTCGACTTGCCTGGAAAATAATTGTTTTGAATTTAATCTCGCTGTTTGAATCAATCTAGATGCAGCTCGAATTCTAAACCAATGTCTAAATCCAAAGCCCGGGGGCCTTCTGGTTCTTTGAATTTATGGTATTGTGGAAAATTTGTGACTGTATAGTTTACAAACTATCATATTCATGGAAGGTTCTCAAATGCTCTAAAGTCATCTTAATGCTAATCTTGAAATTATGACCCGTTTTGAATACACCCAATTTTTTTATAGGAAACAAAGGTCGATGTTGAGTACTCCAGTTTCTTAATGCTCAGCAAATTTCAATACTCATTGTTTCTTAAAAGTTTCTTAATTATGATGACATGAAAGATGTTATGAAATGTTCATGACCTGTTCTTATCACCTCAAGAGATTCGCTTTCGTTCCGATGCTAAATTTAGATGTGGGAAGTATATTTTTATCGCTTGTGTCCGAAGTTCTAGGCCACCAGGGCAATAATGTTCTTGGATTTTACAAAATTTTCGTTGTTCTTAGTTTTGTCACGATATCATAGTTTCTTAATTCTTTTGCTTCGATTACTGAAGTTTCTTAATTTTTCTGACTATCCAGTACTCGTTTCTTATAGCCAGTTTCTTAAAAAAAATGAGTGTATTCAAGTACTTTTTTAGTCCAACTTTGCTCTCTAAGGTATCTATAGTACTGTTTTTAATGTTTTTAGTGTTTGGTTTATTTCTAGTGAAAGTGAGTCCCTGAGGTTATGAGGTGATTCAGTTATGTTTAAAATATTTTTCATGAAACTTGGGTTTTCGTGATGAATAGTTTCGTAAATTTCTTTTGCAAGTTGCTTTAAATTCCTTGTATGAATGGTAACCGTGTTGTCTTTGAGCAGCAGTTGTTCAAAACTAGATTAAAAATCATCATAGGCTACGCGCAATGTTTTTGCATGCATGTTATTATTAACTTTATTGCTTTTCCTACTGCAATACATCCATACCAAGGAACAGTAATCAAAGAATATCAAAACAATTGTTTCATGAAAAGTTTTCTTTTATCTTCGTTTATATAAGGTGCTTTTCTTGCAAGTTTTAAATATAGTTTTAAATAAAGCTTGTACAATAAACGCCATTTACCTTAAACACGATTGTAGAAGATCTGGTAACGATGCGTGCTGAACAGAAAATACGACGTCGCTCTTTCGAGTGCTTGATCGGAGTGTGCGTGTAGCCACTGGTGATCAGAATGTAAGACAGCAGATTATCGATGTTACGTCAGATCAAGGCAGTGCTACAATCCTTGCCAAAATTGTTGGAACACTTGTGCAAAGCTGAAGCTTTTTTGAAAAATCCCCCCCTACCCCCCCATTACATTGTTATTCAATTGGGCTGTTTTGATCCTGAAGGTAAACATTTCTTTGCTGAAAGCTGTATGAAAGTATTGAGAAGATAAATCAACATTGTACGGGGGGTGGGGGTCGAAATTTTTGAAGCGGCAGTGATATTTTGGTGAGGTAGTTTTAGACTTGCTTTGTTTATTTGCATGTTGCAATGGGAAGGTGTTCCAGTTATTTTTGGCAACGATTGTAGATATTACGCCTGTTATTCGCGTCATTACAAAAATTCTGTGACGGCTAATAAATACCTGATATTAGAATATCATGAAATATTATAGAATAGCAACAAGATGCAATACAATTATGCAACGGATAGGTCCTGATATATGGCCTAAAGTTCTCATTTGGCAGTTTTTTGTAGAAGCTTTAGATCGTGTATGCAAGAAACCAATCAAGGTTCCCTGCTTTTGCAGATGTTTATGTTTATGGATACAATGTGTAGTCTATCTATATTTAAATAGCTATGATTGACAGAATAGTACGCATAATAAAAATATGTTAAATTTGGGTTTTTCTTTTAGAATCCAGTGAAAATATAAGAAGAGAACGCTAAAAATCTGATGTTCTGTTCTGATGAATTTAGAATGGTGGTGAAAATTCAAAACGTGGCACTCATTTTCATAAGAATGAGTTTAAACAGACTTCAAAATCAATCAACAGGGCCGGCGAAACGTATTTGAAAGTGGGGGGGGAGGGGGGGGGGGCAAATATGAAGATCTTGGAAGGGCTTAGGTTAGGCCGCCACCATGGTTGGCGGCAAGAAAATTTTAGGATTATTGTATTTTAGGGATGGCCAGAGACAGTATCTAAAATGGAAAATCCGAGGAAAATCCGAGGAAAATCCGAGGACTTTTACTGAAGTAAAATCTGAAGCAATATCTTTAAGCTTTGCTTAATCAATATGTACAAGCTCAACAAAAAAAGGAGAGCTATCAACTAAAATAAAAGCAAATTAAGCAATTTGTACACTTGGCATATTGTTTTGTAACATCTGATCTTAAATATTTCGGAAAAAAGGTGCTTTTAACAAAAATCAAAAATAGTTTTAATAGAATTTACAATTGCGTCTAGATTTTCTTTTTTAATTGGAATGGATTATCGATACAATCAAGTGTTGAAGTTTTCTTGATTTTACTTTTTTAGAATAAATCTGTCCATTCTTTTTTTCTCATGTCCTCAAAAATTTTCTTTTCGTCAGTTTCTTTCCCTTCCACATCGCTAGCAATTTCTCTCTTTTTGCAATGTTCCTGAGAAATTTGTTGTTAACAAATAGACCTTGTGAGCCACGTTTAGGCAATAGAAAAAACGAAACTCCGTCAATTTGGGCAGGCACCAAGTTATTCTGGATCAGGTTTCTCGATCTATTTCCTAAGCCAAGCTGTTTCTCGTTGTACAACTTAGACAATGACAAATTTCTTTGATCTTATTTCCCATATTCAAATTTATATATTTCTTCTATGGTAAAGTCATAGCAACCAAGCTAAATCTAAAGGCATATGTAAGGGATTACTAAACACAGTTACTTACAGAATGCTATACTACATTTATTTCCACTTTTGCCTAAAATTTTCCCCCCACTTTCACCGGCCATGGCCCCCCCCCACTTTCACCGGCCGTGATCAAACCCGGTCCTTAATAACTCTAGCCAAAGAAAGCAGAAGATTGAGAAACTCAATCACAGCAGTCAACCGTTGGAACTAGGTATGTTTTTTGCTAATGTTATGAAAAGCCAAAAGCTTCACAACACATCTAAAGTTTTCCTGCTATGAAATGTCAGTCTTACGTCAAAATTTCTTTAATTTACACTCTGAGGATTCAAAAACAGGATAAGAACATTCAAGCTTTAAAGTTGACCAAGATGACGTTTTCTTTGTTGATGATAGCAAGCGCTCTAAAACATTTGTTCTCTAAAACATGAACGAATTAATTCATATAACTTACCTCTAAAATGTTCCTCTCGTTCGTAAAAGAAAGAAGCACACAAATTTACAAATACAAAAACAAAGTAAAAGCACAAAAATACACGAGAACGAGCCCAAGCTCATAGGTTAGATGTGATGCGTTAGGAGAAGCGCACGTTAAGGGGTCATACTATATTCTCATCGGAATTGACAAGCTCAACCAGAGGGGTATTTTGAACAAATATTGTTTTGGAAGGTAAAGATGGGTTGAGCAACATTAGGCTTTTTTGGACTAGTCAGTTGATAATTTAACATTATGACAAATGTGTCACGCTTTTATCTCATTCTTGATGTAAGGATATGGAAGATGAACTTCAGTGTAAAAATGAAGAACTTCATTGTGACTTTAAGAAAGTGATTTGTTTGTGAATTTGTGAATGTGATTTTTAACGATGAATAGATTTCAGTTTCGTGTATGAAAAAGAAAATAAACGCAATATGTTATTGCTTAAGGAAAAATTTTCCTCAAGCAATAACCTTTTGGAAAATGTGAATAACAGTTAGATTCGAGACATTTCCTCTCAAGTTGTGAAAAATTTGAATGAGCCGTCTTGTACCTTGAACCCAAGCCTGCAATTAATATCGGCGAAAGCAAATTCGATATTTGGATTTGACTTAGCTTTGTCTGTGGCATTGGAAAACAGTTTTGCCCTCTTACGTGTCAGGTCCATGAAGATCTTCACTTTTCTTTGCTCTTTTCTGGCTTTATAGACCGCCATTCGACTATCCCAGCTATTTATTTTAATGATCATTGCCTGACTTTGAATTTTGCCATCCTTTGAAGTTTTAACTCTCCCAATTCGATGGTCCCTATCAATACAATCGGGACTAACTTCGATTTTTAAAGATTCCAAAAGGTTTTTCACTTTTTCGACACATTGATATCCTGTTTCAGATCCCTGCTCTGGCAATGGAATATCATAGATACGGAGGCAGGTGCGGTGAGAATACTGTTCTGTATGATCTAGCTTCTACTCAAGATGCTCAAAGTAAGCATCGTAAATTGCAATTTTCCATTCGAACGGTCCTCCACACGTGCTTCCAACGGTTTAGCTGCCTTGTTTACTTCCTTTTTAATACACCCAAGTAATTTATTCTCGAGTTTTGATATCATGTTCTCCATATCAGATTTAGTGAGAAGGCCCAATCCTCCCAGTGCTTCGTCGACAGCCTTTTTATCTGTGTCTCCATTTTCTGCAATGTTCTCGTCAACATGTGGGCCTTACACCAAACACAGATCAGGCAAGGAATAATTTAAATCGAAGTTCATATTGGTCTAGAGATAAAAAAACAACACTTTGTTTGTTGAAACATAAATACCTCCCACAATTTTCCATTTCTTAAAAAGCAACCCTCAACGCACACTTGTGTTCCGATGTTACGTTTTACTGCGCAGAGAAAGTTCTGAAAATATGGTACTTGAATCAGCTTTAAAATCTTCTAACCAAGCCAGATTAACAGTAGTCTATACTTCAAAAAGCCATATTGCATTAAATATGCAATAGATTTAACTATTTACTTTCTGCTCATGAGTTCAAAATTAAACAAAATGAAAAACAAGTCTTTATGGTGTCATCATTTTGTCACTGTATAACTCAAATCTGTTTTAGTCGTAAGGATTATTGGGTATGTACGCAGGCTACAGTCGTCAAGAGAGACCAATCACACGGCTCGTCTTGGTCGCTGATAGAAAGAACAATGATTGAAAGAAATGAATCTTGCGTACATTCCACATTCTCTAATTATACATTAAGTCACAGCACAAAGTTTCTAACCTGGTGCTAGGGATGCTGCTCCTGCGTTCTTTTCCAGTGATGCTATCGTTCTGGGTCAAAGATTTCTGTGTTTAATGTGGAGCTTTAAAAACAGTGGGTCCTAGCAGTTTTCCTGGCTTCAAATAAAGCACAAAGAACTAAGCAGAAGGTCATTGATATAAACTATTAATGGAAGTGGTCCAGGACGAGTTCCCTGTGGAACACAATGGTGCATATCTTTTTTCGCGATCGTGTTAACGACGTTACAATTTACATGAAATTGCAAGAGGCAGCAAAAATTAATCCTTCTCAATTGCCTGATAATTGCCCATCGCAGATTTTTTATTTGAGCAGCGATTAAATGGAAATGTCTGTGATGCAACATTTTTAAAGACGCCAATGTTTTAGAGGTTTTTATGTTCGAATTTATTTTAAAGATAAAGTTGTATTTATGAGGATTTTGCGTATTTTTATAGAGCACAACCTTCTGGAAGTTTTTTCAGTGCGTTGGGCAGTGAAAAAACAGTAGGGAAGCTAAATAGAATCTGTAATATGAAAGGTCACCAGCTTGGTCACTTTTAAAATAGGGGTAACACTAGCAATTTTCAAAGAATCTGGAAAAAAACCTATAGCAATAGAAAGATTAGAAATACCACACAGAGAGCCTGAAAGATCTTGGCGACTGGTTTTCAAAATACGATGAGAGATGCAGTCAGAACCAAAATCCATATTAATTTACCCAAGTCACATGCAAACTGTCGTGAATTTAAAGGTTTAAGGTTAAACCGTATTCATTTGAAATTGTAGAGCTTTTTGCCACCTATGGATCAACGCCGGAACACGTGAACGATGGACCTGGAAAATGAAGCAGCTCTAAAGCGATTTTCAGTTGATCCACTGAAGCTTGGCTAACGTTCCACAATTTGTGCCAGTAGCAAACTATTTTGTTTGATAGGGTGCTAGTTGGTTGGAAAGCCAATTCTTCTGATCATACATACTTGGCAAAAGAAATAGGAGAGTGAAAGGCTCTGAGTTTTACAATATTGAAACTTGCTTGGGTCAACCTTTCATAGCCAAGAGGACCTTCCTTAGAAGAGTTTGGTGTTTACAGTTGACCTGACGAAACACCTTATCTCAAGAAAATTTGTCACCTATGGATCAACGCCGGTGTACTATGCGTTTCTGCATGGGCATGCGTTTCTGCATGGGCCGAGGCGCATATGCGTTTCAAATGTTACAGTGTAATGGCGGACATGCAGGGCCTATCTGTGAATGGCGTGAAGCGCATATGCGTTAGACAGGACACAAAACACCTTTTAATAAAGGTTTCTGAAATGATCCATCGCCACAAAACCTTAATAAAATCATGTGATAATATCATGCGTTACACCTTATCTCAAGAAAATTTGTCACCTATGGATCAACGCCGGAACAGTCAACGATGGACCTGGAAAACCAAACCATCCCTGATAAAGAATCTAGAATCTGACGCAACACGCAAGGACGGGCGCGAAAAAATATTGACTATGGAAATCAGAGTTGGTGATTTAAGGCCAAAGATTGGAGGTTATTTCATGTGGTATGCTTTAGGAGGAGGAGAAGCATTCTGAGAAGGACTTAGTCGCAACGATTCTATTGATAAATTGATGAACATACATTTGAAACAGACTTTGATCTTAATAACTTACGGATTTGTCGATAAAACCTTCACTAAATTATGATTAATAGTTTTTACTTTTCCTTTTCTGCTGCAAGAGCGATGAAAATTAGTAGAAACGGCCAGGTTTTCTAAACACTTTATACCGGAATTTTATTGCACATTTGCGAATGCTCAAAGTGTATTTCTGGCTGAAAATGACGAACACTTAAGCGAGTTTCTGTACAGAATTGTTGTTCCAAACTGAACCGGATCGAATTAAATAAAAATAGTAGACCTTCACTCATCCAAAATTTTATCCATTTTGAAAATATAAACATTGCTGTTTTCTTATCAGCATCCTTTTCTCTTAATTTAATTTTAAGGATCTAGAGCCAACTCTCGGCAAATTAAAGGTTTGTGTGAATGAAGTAATTTTGTGTGAATGAATGAATGTAGCGTTTGTCACTTTCTTCAAATATCCCGATTAGCAACAAGCATGAAGTAATTTTCCAATCATAAACATATCCAAAGCAATTCTGAATTCATTTTTTTCTAAGATAAAGCATGCAGAAGCCAGGAGATGGCATAATACAAAATTTGATTTCGAGACTTTATTTTACATCGAGGTTGACATTTTATGCGCCATTAAATCATTCAAATAATGTTTCAAAATCCTAATCCCTTTCATTAAGAACAATGGTTCTTATAAGAGCTTCACAAACTGAATACGGATCACAATTAGCTGACGGTCGCCTATCTTCCAGGTATCCCTTATTATCAAGAGCACATTGACGTGGAATTCTAATACTGCACCCTCTGTTCGCCACACCGTGTGAAAAATCGTGTATGGTAGAGGTTTCGTGAAGGCCTGTCAATCTCCGTTTGTTGTCTTCTCCGCTATTTGGATCGTACATCTTTATGTGGTATTCGTGTCTCCTTGAAAGCTTCTCTACAGCCGCGTACACCTCCGACAGTCCACCATCTTTTCGCATATCAGATGTACTGTAGGTACAAAAAAAATTTGTTGAAAAGTTGTCTTATTAGAAGTTATCTTATCACTCCTTGAAGACGCAAAAATACATCTGCCATTTGCTTTTGTTACATTCTCACAGTAGGGCCGTTGATTACAGGCTCAGCCCCCCCCCCCCCCCCCCCCCCCCCTCACTTGTTAAATTCAGAGAGATTGAAGACACACAGCAGAGAATCTTTAACACAAATTCAAGCATATTTCGTGGGTATGTGTGTGGTCATGTGTGTGGCCTGTTGAATTTGCCTACAGCATAGACCCCCCTACTTCCTAACTTTTTAGTACAGCATCCCTGCATTCTCAATGTCCCAATTCACAAGGCTAACAACGCAATATAACCTGACGATTATGTAACAAAATCAAAAATTACCTGAAGTTCATGTGTGCTCCAGCACCGTTCCAGTCGCCATTCATTGGCTTCGGATCCAGTGTATCAATTACACCGAAGTGCTCGGATATTCGTGATAATATGTACCTTGCCATCCATGTCTGATCTGCGAGGTCAATTCCTTCCACCGGTCCGATCTGGAATTCCCACTAAACGCAAATTGCAAGCATTTAAAAACCTATATATCAATGTTTTTTGAGGCGTATTTTAAATTATAAACTGACTGTATTTTGACTCATCTAAATGAAGTTACTCTAAGGTTTAAGTTGCTTTGGAAACTATTGTCTGTACCAGCATGGACAAACACGTTCATAGATATACACAAGCAATAAGGCATTGAATTGGGATCAAGAAAGTCCCATTGTACAACATACATCACTGTGAGCAAGATTCGAAAGATGTTCAAAACATTCTGTCACGGTTCACCCTTCCGTTTACACTAGCACTGTGGAACCGAGACGGTTTTGCTCTGCTATCTGGAACAGTTTTTGACCCTGCTTTGAAAGCGAACGAATTTCGTACCGTCACGGTTCCGTTTTTGAACGGGACAGTGTAAACACCTATCCGAGACGATATTGTCACGGATTCACAACGAGGTCTTTTGTATGGCTGTTTCAGGTTATCGAGGCTTTGATTGTGGCGTAACTACGTTGTGCCGTAACTACGTAACTACGTAAGAAAAGGACATTCTGAAGACAAGACGACGACAGAAAAAGCTTGTATTGTTTCCCAGTCCAAGCCTTCATTGGACTTTGCAGTTTTGTAGTCTAAAATAACACTGAAAATTAAAGCCACCTTGTCGTCCGTCCAATTAAAGTTTTTATCGGCCTTCCGCTCCATTTTAGCTCTCAATAAAATTTAGATTGTTGACTTCGGCGGCAAAATTAAAGCCTCGGTTGACTAAATACAGCTTCTTCTAGACATTGTTCTACCATTCAATTAAGGTCGTACCGGTACAGTGTAAATGGAACGGCTAAACGGAACAATTTGGAACCGCGACAGTGTAAACACTTGCGAACCGTAACGGTACAAAATTGTCCCGGGACAGTGTAAATGGGGTCTAAAGTGTGTTTATTGGGTACCTGTCCTGGCATAACCTCTGCATTCTCGCCGCCATGCATAATCCCAGCATATAGACACGCCATGTAGTGGGCTTCAACAACTTCTCTACCAAAAACACGGCCAGTTCCAACACCACAGTAATAAGGACCCTGTGGGCCAGGGAAACCGCCCTTTGGCCAACCAAGAGGGTGACCATCTCCGTCTAGCAAAGTGTATTCCTGTTCAATGGCAAACCATGGATGATGATCCTGTAACGAATAAAATTGTGCAATGAAAAGCAATCTTTACAGGCTGCATTTATATCAATTCTCTTAGTTATCAAAAATGAACACGCAGCAACAGGTGTCTTTAAACTGAATTAGCAACATCTTTTCGGCTAGATGATTTAGATAAGCTCACCTTGCATTTCTCCAAAGCCTCTAAGCAACTCGTCCTGTTGTTTGTTGCGCACGGTTCATTT